AACTCGTGTTCTTCTTGCTCTAACGGAAGAACACTAAAGTCTCTTCCAGGAATTTAAACAAAAAACCAGAAGAAAGTGTTTTTTCCTAATTACAGCTATAAATCATTTAGAAAACTTTACGATACTACTTTTAAGCTAATTATTTACCAATTCTTGCTGTATGGACATGTTTACAGCTACGAGTTATGAATCCAAATTTCTGTAATTTGTACATAATGAGGCACTGGCCTCATAAAAACACATTAAGTTCCAGTAGGGAGCCAGTTCTTCTTAAATGGAAGCATACGGTTGTAGTATAAGTACAAGACTCCGCATCGAAATATGATATATATATCTGTACGCTGTGCCTTTAATAACATACTGTGTACACAGTTCCCTGGTGCCATGACTACCGAGGCATCACCATAGAGATGTTGGTTCAAACCTACATGGAGTACTGAAAAGCATATTTCAGTTTTTTACTTGAATGTTTACTTAAATATGTGCAAAAGGTAATCTGATAATAGGGATTGTGATTGGATTAGAAAATCTGATGTGTAGATTATTAAATCTGAAGGTCGGATTTGTAAATCTGGTGATTGCATTAGTAAATCAGATGATTGAATAAATTGATCTGATGACTAGATAAATTTGGTGATTGGATAAGTTAATCTGATGATTGGATTGGTAAATCAGGTGATTGGGTGAGTAGGTTTGATGATGAATAACTTAATCTGATTCTTGACCTGCACATTTTCTAGATCTCTGGGCTTCTGCTCATCCATTAAAGACACAGTCCCGGTCCAGCACGGTTGACCAGTTTTACTGTGTGTCTTTTGAAGCCATGAATCAGTGATGTTTGTGTTTGCTGACAGTCTCTTAGCAGTTTTACAGTGAGTAGAAATAAACTCGTTGTTTGTCAGCTTGCTGCTGTCTTTGCAGTTTTCTTCTCCGTCTGGGTAAAAGCATCAGTGGTGTGAAAGATGGTGATACAAATGGCAATTAAATATTAATGTCTTTGTTGGTATATATGGAAGGAAACACGTGGCTGCTTCATTTTTCTTTTTTTATCTGAGAGGAAATGCAAGAAAGACGATCAATGAACTACATTAGCTCAGGGAAACAATTCTCCTCTGCTGCTCGTGTCTATCACCAGGCAGAACAATCACTGACTTCCATGTTATTGTTTTTCCAAACATTTGATATACAGTAAATGCATTTACACAGATACCTGCTCACACGTGGAAAACAACAACATGCTTCTGCCACCAAATACATTTCCCCTCTGGAACCTTTCCCCTCTCCCCCCAGTGAAGGTCAATCCCCCAGAGCCAGGGCTAAATTGCTTTGCTCAGACACAATTATAAAAGGATCTGTTGATTTTGCCCTTAAGTGTGTCTGATTGGTTGTGGAGTGGACAGCTCTAGTGTAGACACTAATGCAAAGCGACATGGGGGAAACACGAGTCAAGACCTCATCACTTCTCTGACTATTAAGACCAATTCTGACGAGACACTTCACACCCAGGCTCACCTTAAACCCCGACAGTGGACGGAGGCGCTCGGTGACGGCAGCAGTGGAGCGGGGCTGTCCTACATTTTATTGAAGTATTGATTGACACAGTTTGAACACACCGTGATGAAAACAACACAACACTCTGTTCTCACATTGTTGGATGTGTGTAAAAGTTGGCACCAACTCAATATTAATAATATTTGATTTATTTATCTGAGCGCACATTTACTTAAAAGTGTGTTTTTTTTAATGTTACAAAATGCTTGGATTAAAATAAAGAGAATTCAGGCGTCTCTCAAACCAGTCAAAATCATCATATTTTATGTAACGTAAGAGTTCTAGAAAATGGAACGACTTCTAAACGTCAGAAAATATTTTCCTTCAGAACAGACACTTGTTTTAATCTTCCCTTATAAAACACAGCTTTGGTTTCGCAAGCAGAAAATTGATAAAAAAAAAACAAACCCAAAGAACAACCTAAATGTCAAGTATGAGAGAACATCTTATGTCAGAGCTGTTCAGTTATTCATTTATTTAAAACCTTTCCATGGCTAATAAACTGGAGTGAACTACAAAGAAAGAGGATTTAAACATAAATAAATTGAGGACTACACTACTCCTACACGCTCATTAAAAAGAAACAACTTCACAGCTAAAGCCCAGAATTTGTCATTTCATTAAAACTTAGACTGCGGGTTGTCATTGATTATGTAGTAACTGCATAATTAGCTGCTTACACGTCCAGACACACATATGTGTGTATAATGCCAGGCTACAGACAGTGTTACCTCGATGGTCTGTTCTACTGTTGAGAACATAGCATGTCCAGTCAGATGACCACAGACTGGGCCGCTCTGAGGTGGTGTCTGGGCTGCAGGTGGCCCTCCTGCCACGGTTTGAATTGACAGAACTTATGCGATTAAGATGGATCATCTTATGAAACTTTTTACACAGGACGTCAGTGAACACTGACACAGTTTGTTGTGACTATTTTGAAGACGGTGATTGTTTAGATTGTCATGAACTGAAATGTTGGACAATTTTCTGTCATTATTTTTCATAAAGAAATTTGATGAAAATTGGTTTTCATTTTCAAAAGAGAGAGAACTTTATTGATCCCACATCGGGGAAATTGTTGTGTCAACAGCAGATCTGCTGCAACAGGAGGTGCATACGCAGGTATGTGGTTCCTCTGGGGCTCGAACCCATGACCCTCTGCATGTAAGGCATACGTGTAAGCAGCGTAAGAGTGATGACCAAAGCTAGAAAACTGCAAAAATAACAAGTGCAATTGCTGCTGTTTGGATGTCAACAATGTAAGACTTGGATTAGATTCTGCCCGTTACCTTTGACTTCCATAATAAAATAAATACATGTTAAAATGTCAACCTACAGTTTAAAAAATAAATACATGTTAAAATGTCAACCTGCAGTAACTGTTCAGAAGTATAACACAGCACGAATGTACAGTTTAATATGAGGCAGGCTAGGCGATGATAGCACTGCTGAGGAAGAAACTGTTTCTGCGCATATTCACGGAACAACATCTGCATTTAAATGTGTAGTGTTTGTTCCAGCTCGGCAGAACAGGTAGCACCGCGACGAGAGAGCAAATGTGTTGAACAGTCAGCTGCAGATCTGGACCAGACGGAGTTTCAAACAACATCAATCTGCTCTGTAAAATTTGAAACAATTAAAAGCAGGTTAGATGAATATAATCTGGTTCATAACAATCCATTTAGCGGCTCATAAGAATAAGATGTTAGTGTTTCACTCAGAGTTAATTTAAGGTGTGGGTGTGTGAGCGCCCACTCCTTGGTGTCCACTTTGGTTTCCTGCAACACCGTTTCATCACCCTCAGCACTTTTCTGTTTAATATTACACCTGTCTGTTCAAAAAACAGGCTTGGACAAAAAGAGACGACACCTGCTCTGGTCTGCAGCCGGCTGTAACGCAGCTGAGCGACGTGATGACAGAGTGGTGAAAAGGTAAGACAGAGGCCACGTCTCTGTGAGACTGGTTTTCCCAGATGGCCATGTGAAGGGAGCGCTGTGATCAGAGAGCTAATAAACTGGAGGAAATGCTGCAACGCCTTTCCTTGGGATGGAGCTGTTGCTATGGTGACCAAAGCACAAGCACTGCAGGTTAATGATGGGAAAGTATGATTTGCTGGTAACAACTGGCACACAGTGAGTGATGGCCAAAACTCCTTTCTGCT